TCATCACTTCAGGGCTCAGGAGCAACGAGCTCTTCCTTTTCAACTTGTAATGCATTAATTTGCTTCTTAGAATCACACACATGTCCATAAAAATATCCATCTCCACACTTGTAATAGGCCCCATTGGACATGTTTCCTTTTTTACCAGTAACTGGAGGGGCAAGTTTCACCACTAGGGGTCTTGGTACTTCCCATTTGTGAGGAGTGAACGTAGAATGACTTACAAGTGGATTAGGTAAGGGACGAGGGACTTGACTTATAAGCTTCTTTCTCCTTGCTTCATTAGAAACCACCTCCAACTTAGACAACTGAAGGGTGTGGGCTAATAATTGTAGTTGCCACATAGTCACCATTGGTCCAATGGATGCGTATGACCTACACCCTGTGCTGCTAGATCTTGCAGTTGGGTACAATATAATCATTTACTCTTCAATAGTGGCCATTTTCTCTTGACAACCTTCCAGTTGCGTCTCCATGGTGGTAGTGTGATTAGAGAAGGAAATGAGGCATTCTTCAGCACGCGTTGATGCAGGTCAAAATGCACATATTTTACCCCCTTTTTCCTTAGATGTTTGAGACGATTTCACCCAATGGGGTTTGGTTTTACGCTAGGTTGTGCTTTGTTTTGCTATGTTTCAGATCCTAGCAGGTAAATCAACCCCGGGAACGAAAGTTGGACGAAAAGGAGCGAAAACGGGCCAAAAGGAGAGGACAGATGCAGATCACGGTGGAAGCCATGAGTTCACGACCACCAAGACCGTGAAGTTCGCACCCCGGCCGTGAAGCGCAATGGTTCTAGAGGGCTTTTGCGCATCTCACTAGACCTTGACTGGTTCACGGTCGCTGGACCGTGAACACTCGCCTTGGATCGTGAAGTGCATAAGTAAAACGGTGCACTTTTGCTAAAGATCACGGTCCCCAGCCAATGTTCACGACCATGAACTGGGACCGTGAAATGCCTTCGATCTAGGTATATAAAAAGAGTTGAGTTGAAGGAAGAAAAGGGGAGAGCCTAGTGAGATAACTTCTTCTTCTTCAAGACTTCTAGAGAGAGAAAGTAACGAGTAAGGAAGAGGAAGGAGGCTAGGATTTCATCCAAGCTCAAGGTTTTGTGAATTTTCACCTCCAAGGTTGATCTCCACACAAAAGGAAGAAATGTTTCATCTCCAAGATGGTTTTCTCTTCTCTCCTTTGTGTATTCCGTCTACCTAGCATGGAGTAGTCCGTTATTTCACTTGGGTGTTTGTGAACCCTAGCTAGAAACATGTGAAAGTTTGTATAAATGGAATGGTTTGTGTATGGTTGTGTTTGAATGCAAGTATTGAGGCATTTGCATGGATGTTCTGTTGTATTTTCCATTTCCAACTACTTTGCCAATTTGAACTAGGTAGAGGGAAACCCCCTTCTTGTGAAGAGGCTTTCAAAAGCTGGGTTTCCTTGGCCTAATTGAGTCACCTACCTAGGGAAAATTAGGGCACACCTCTTAATACGTTTAAGCACCTTGTGTTGGTTGCGATTTAGCCATCCGTACTTTGGTTCGAGCATGAAGCCTTGGCAAACCTTAGACGATTAGCTAAGAGAGTTACCTAGGTAGCCTGACTTGTGTCCCTTGGCCGATTGGCTAAAAGAGTCACCTAGGTAGCTTGTCTTGTAGCCACTTAGCCAATTGATCAAGAAAGTGAACTCGATTCACTTGATGCGCTTCCCTAAGGGGAACAACACCCGGGTGAAGCCTTCACAACTAGGGTTCACACCATTTACTTTTCCAATCGCTTTAGTTTTGAATCGTAGTTCCCACCAAAAACTCATTGCTAGATAATATTTCAAACAATCTAAGTAGGAGTACATGGTTGGCCTAGGTTTGACTTTTAAAACATACTTGTCTGATATTGCATCCAATTAAGGTTTATACTTGGGGTTTTTATTGAAATTTTTATTATGGTATTCGGGACGAGTCACGTGTCATCACCATTATGCAGATAGAAGGCTCTAATACCAGGTTTCCTCAATCTAGTCTGATCGAACTAAATATTCTTAACTTTTTGAAAGGAATGGTGTCATTGGGGTTGTAGAGAAGCAATATCGGAGACGAAAAAGGGGGTAGTAAGAGAGAGAGAAGTGTTTTTGTGGACAAGTTTGTTATGATTTATTACTCGATTATAACACGGCTCGTTGGCCGGAATGTTCATATTTGATTATTTGTATTTTTATGTTACATTAAGTCTATCAACCCATTTAATTTTATTGACAATTCTTCGATCAAGATGATACATAAAAAAAGAATATATAGGTCGAACTTTCGGAGAAATAAGAATATAAAATATAAAAATATATCATTGATTTCATTTTTATAATGATAATTAAGCTTCAATTAAAATACTATTGGTTAGTTGATTGTCAAGAAAAATAGAGTACAAAAGCTCACTGGAATTCCCACACGTCATAGATAGTTTGAAACACAATCTTAAACCTCACAATCCTACATAAAGGGTTCAGTGCTCTCTTTTTAGGAACATATGCCACTAATCAAAAAGAAATGGAGAGTTGTTGATTCAAGTCAACTATATACTAACAACTCAATTAAGAGGGGACCAATAAAAATTGAGAGCAAACGACAAAATTAGGGTTATCTCCAATATGCTAATAGACTCGATCGAAGTAATAAGACACAAAATTAGACATTCCTTATCTATCAGTTCCAGTAGGTTGAATAAAGAACCGACCTAGCTGCAAAAACCATAAACCTAAAGGTCCAATAGTCACCACTCTCTGTTGTACAACCAATTTTTTTTTATCTCAAAAGGCATATGTTTCAATAAAACATCCAATCTCTAATCCTCCTTCTACAACTCCATTTATTGAACTCCATTCTATTCGTCATGGATTGACATCGGAGTTGAAATCTTCTACTTGCCTAGCTTAAATCCCCAATAATAAAATCGTAGTGCCAAGAGATACCAAAAGATTGATTTCAAAGGCGGCCTTGTATTGGAAAGTGAAAGGGGCGCAAACTATTGCACGATGGATGGAATTTCGGAGGAAGTTAAAAGATATAAGAACAAAGATAAAAAAAAATACTAAATTTAAATTGAAAATTTCAAGGACACAACACGCAGTAACATAATTAATTTCTTCTAAGGTAGCCAATTACCAATCTACCTTTAGCAAAAAATTAAGGCGAGAGCAAAAAATTTAAAATTGAGAAAATTACATGAAACTCTACTATGAAAAGTGAAGTATCAAGCACCATAAAAATACATACGGTATACTTAGTGGGCTTGATAATCATGATGGAAAATTCATCCAATTTTCAGAGTTTAACTTTGTGTATGTTTTGTACTCGAAAAGATTCAACAAATTTGTTTAGTGTAATTGGTTGTGATTGTTGTCTTTGTTTCAAGAGATTGGGGTTCGAATCCTCATATTGATATTGATATTTTTTATATGAGGTAAATAATTTCTTATAAAGACAAAAATGTCCTTCTTACTTTCACTCTAGTTGTAGGAAATTTAAAATAGAGAAAAGTTCACAAAACTCTACTATATATTATTGGAGGAGAGGAGAAGGATATCCTAGCCGTGATTAGGGATGGCAATGGGTCGGGTCGGGGACGGATAGTGCATATCCGTTACCCTACCCAAAATAGTTCGGGTTTTACCCATACCCGTACCCACATAAGAAACAGGTAGAAAATTCAAATCATGCTCGTACCCGTTCGGGTTTCGGGTATTCACGGTTATCCATGGGCAGTAGTTTCTCTTTATAACTCCAACCAATATGTTAATATTCACACGTATTCTCACGTTACGTAAGACGAAAAATACGACAATAATTCACTAGAATGGAGAAAATTAATTAAAACAACATAATTTCATAAAAATATTATATTTATATGCTAGAAATAAAATATATTAGAGAAAAATATTGGTTATTTCTAGACAAAATACATATGCATATGTATAATCGGGCAGGTTCGGGTTGGATAGTGAGAAAACCATGCCCACCCATTACCCGCAACATTCGGGTTCGGGTTTTACCCGTACCCACTAAAAGTCCTTCGAGTTCGGATTTTACCCTACCCAATTAAGTCGGATTCGGACGGATATCCACGGTTACAGATATTTTTGTCATCCCTAGCCGTGATACAGTAGCTGGCCATTTGTAGTTTCCGTATTGGCAAATTACCAATCATTCTCAAATTGTTTTTGCTTTATGCATAGTAATCTTGTACTTACTCCTCGAACTTTTTTTTTATTACATACAATGAAGTCCGATTTTTTACAATCAATCAGCCGAATGATGGTGAAAAAGCTGATGGAATAGTTGTGGATTGAGAAAGTTTTCCGCCTCAAATAACTATGAGTCTACGGGAGAATAGAGGAACCATGTGTTCTTATCAAATACAAGGGTTGAAATGGCTTTGTATGAAAACTCACGTATAAATAAAAAATCTTCATTTTTCAAATATACAAAATAAACGACTCATAGAAGTCTCAAACGTCAAGGAGAAGAACGATATAAGTAGCAAAGGAACTGAACACGAACAAGCCACCTAGCTGTAACACGGTTTGGTTCGACAAACGGTCGAATCAACAAGGTAGAGTTAGAATGGGTTGGATAGAATCAGATCTAGTAACACGAACCCAAAGGATGAAGAAACTACTTCATGACGGATGGATGCTCCAGAAACCACCCCATTTGATGTCTCAAGAAATAGCCAACTCTAATTATCCATTAGGCGAGATTTTTTTCTCCTAGACAAGTTTTCAAATCACAGAGAGTGAGTATGAACCGACATACATATGCTCCTTAGAGATGAAATGCAAAAATGAGTGAGGATGGTGACAATATAAGTGATATTAGATTCCGATCATGCGATATAGTAGACCCGATTTACTAAAAACAGTTTTGCCCAGCTTGGAACACTAAAGTGTTGATTCATAATCATATATAAAAAAAATTGCATTTATTTGGTTTTATTCCATTTGGTTTTTATTCCATCATTTTAATCTTTATATTAAAAATATCGAAATTTGCAAACCAAAAAGAAAAAAAATGAAATTTAACCAAAGTATATATTGTGTTTACCTTCGTTTTCGATTTGATTATTTATTCGGTCTAATTTGATGCGTTGTTATGCAAGTAATAGACATTAAAAAAAAAAACCCGAGAATGAGAATGAGAATTTCGAGAGAGTTCATATTATTATATACCGCATATAGCTAGTTAAATTATAACTAACTACTGCAACAACGACAAATCTTGTGCAACAAACAATCGAGAGAGAAAGAACGAACAAGGAAGTTTTTTTTTTTTTTTTTTTTTTGCTTAGAAGTATTCTCCGTCCTGGTAAAGCCAAATGTACTGCCCATCATCATATCTAGTATAAAGATACAATCCATCATCTTTTACCCACCAATCGCAATGCCGGTCGCACCTATATTTGGGAAGAAACCCCCAAAACACACCTTGGATGCCGTCGTTGATGTGCATGTAGCACCACACCAAGGGGAAACCTATGTCCCGAATCGCCCACTGGCTCACCCCTCCAACACCAAGTTTATACAATCTATCATGAGGACCACCCTTGTTATTGCACATATACCACACCTCGTGGCTCGCATTGTTGGTTATCGTCACGTTCACCATCGGAAACAGCTCTGACAATAACCCGGCGGCAGTCACCTTTGTCGGCGGAGCCACCACGATTGACATTGCAATGACGAGAATCAGCAACGAGATGGTGTTGATTTTCCCGCGACAAATGGCCATGGCACGGAGAGAAAATTTAAGGGAGGAAAAAAAACGGTGTTGTTGGTGTTGTATTTTGAATCGACTAACTAATTTGACTTCAGATTCGAGATTGGAAAATTGCAACTGCTTTTTTCCCCTGTCTCGAATCTGAACTATACTAGAAATCCATGAAGAAGATGGAAGGAAGAAACTGGGGAGATCAAAGGCGTTGAGCACATTGATGAAAAGATTGCAATGGAAAAGGCACAAGCATTTATAATATAATAGACATAACGGGGGAACCAATCCGTTGTAACGATTCAGAGTTGGAGATTATTTGCAGTGGCAAACAAAAAAGCTAAGATTGTATTATCAAATAAAAGAAAGGATACGGTTTTTGGTTTCTGTTGAGACGAAGTTATAAAGCAGAAAAGCAGATTGGCCTAACCGTCACCGGTGGTATTCCTATATACTAGTTGTTCACCTTTCACTTTCTGGCTGCAAATATACACACAAGCTACTGCACTGATTCCTCGCCTTTCCCTCCGAGTTATCACTTTCGTTCATCCGATCCTTGTATTTGGCAAACTAGGCCAGTTCATACTCATCGACCGGTTAGCTTGACCACCCAAGCCCCACCCAAGTACAACCCGAGAAGTGGCCCGGCTAAGAGCATCTGAGTTAGAGGATCAGTCGAAGGTGTGAGTATGGCAGCTGCAACAACAGCGCCAACGACCACGTATCTCCAGATCGAGAGCATCTGGTCTCCTGAAACTAGACCGACACCCCCCAGCAGAATCTGTATAACCGGGACCTGTACCAATATATTCAAGATGCTACGTCTCAAACAAGAAAACGAGAGACACAAGAGAACCGAAGCAAAGGAACGAGAGGTTATACTACCTGGAAAGACAAGCCCGTGCTGAACATGAGGATAAGGACAAACTCAAAGTACTGATCAATGGACCACAACGATTCTACAGCACCTTCAGCGTAGCTCACGAAGAAGTTTAAGGCTGCTGGCGTCAGCACCAAGTATGAGAAGACGATTCCAGCATAGAAAAGTACTGATGACCCTAACACAATTGGCCCCAAGAACCTTCTTTCGGCTTTTGTTAAACCTGGCAGGACGAATGCTATGATTTCGTACAGAATCACCGGGCTTCCCAGAAGTAGGCCGCAGTACCCTGACACCTGCATTGTTTCAACATTTCGATTGTCAGATGAAAAAGGGCACTCTGGGAAACAATCATTCTGGTGTGTTAGTTGATGATAGGAGCTGATAAACCAGCACGGCACAGATGTTAGGAGGAAATCCAAATCTGACTAACCTTCAAAGTGGTGAAAAAGAACTCTCCAGGTGCAAGTTGCAAAAAACGTACACCCTGTGTTTTAACAGGAGCTTCAAGAATCATAACCAGTTCTTTTGAAAACGCAAAGCATCCCACAATAGCACCTCCAACAGCCAACACTGACACAAATAGTCTCTGACGCAGTTCTTCAAGATGATCAAACAAGCTCATTTCTTTGTCGTCTGGAAGGAGCTCTTTGTCTGGATACAGGAAATCATAGATAGCGCCTCCTTTGTTTTCTTGATCGGAGGTCACTTGTGTTATCTCAACTGCATCAAAAGAGAATACCAGTAAATTAGTTTCAACTTATAGATCCCTAAAAGTCAACATTGTTCAGGGGAATATGGCAGTGCGGTTCTAATCATGGCATGGAAAAGAATCCTTCTCGAGATGCACAGTTTACATATCTCATAAGCATGCATAACAACTAATGGATTATAAGTTATATCACGCTTGATGAGTACCACTATTTGCAAGTCACTGATCTCAGGACATAGAATTTACTTCTTGAGATAGCTTGACAATTTCATCCACACGAATGGACCAGATAGTGTTGGGGGGAGGGCACATATTATAGGAAAGTACAGATAATATTTCAAGTGACACAATCCTGACAGAATTACTTACTAAGGCCATCTAGGTAACCATTAATTGATTTACTGGAAGAGCCATATTTATCTCCATCAATTGTTCCCACTGGCTAAGAACATGGCTAAGATATCAGCATTAAATCTTTGATAAACCTTCTCCATCACCAACAAAAGGAACGAGAAAGATTCAAATGGTGCCAGTGAGTTCTGAAAACGTACAATCCTTGCGCCTTTGCCATTTTGCACAAAGCAGAATACATAAAGAACGGAAAGGACTGACAGCCAATCCAATAAGGAGATACAAATAGCACTAAGAATATATGAACCTAGAAGCAGCATCTATGAGTGGGACAATAATGGGTACTAATAATCATTGGCAAACGAACTACCAAAGCGTGGACTTCTGACCAGATTCTATTTCTTCACACCCAAGTTGAGGATCAACCTGTGCTATCCATATTTAACAATCAACTTGCTATCAGAATGCCGCCTCAACTATTTTTTGCTTCAATTTCCCGTCTTTCAAGCTCTTCCATATTTCCACCATCCTGCCTTTCTCTGATAACCAATGATTCAGCTTCATTAGTGATTGACTTTCCTCTGTCAGATTTCCTCCACAATCTTTACCATGCATTCTGTTGAATTCAAGTACCACAACTTCTAATTGTGGATACTCTAAATCATTGCCTTTCTGTCCTCTAAATTGCCGAAAATTTACACTAATCATTTCGTTTCTACAGTTCTGCTTCTCCATCACTTTCCACCCATGATTTTCTCTTTCAGCAGTCTCCCCCTATCCATTATACAAATTCTGATTGTTCCCATTACCCAAGTCTTCTAAGCCTTATCTACCATTCCCTTCATCCTGTCCAAATATCACCAAAGTTTCAGTTGGCTTTCTCCTATCCTAGTAATCGCTAAACTGAAATATCTCCTCACCTACCAATCTCCAGTCACTTGAAGCTCGGGTCCTAATTTACACTTCTCGGACTTCCAAAGTATAGCAAATTCTACTTTGCAGGAAATCAACTAATTATGAAAACAATCCATTCAAACTTACCAGGCCGGTCCTCAACAACTGAAGCAATACCGCCGCTAGAACTGGACGCTTCCTCTTGCTTCCCGCTGACACCATCATCCACGGCGGCAAAGCACACGGCTCTCTCTCCGACGCTCCTCCTGCTTCTCGAAACACCGAATCTCAATCTCCCTCTCCGCACACTTTCGTCCGCCCGGCCAACCGACGGGGAGGTTAATTGTAATTGGTGATGATGGTGCCTCTGCTGCCTTCCAACGGACTCGAGGGGTTTATAGGAGCAGCAGCCATGGACGAGCTTCAAATTAGGAAAGAGAGCTGCGCTTGTGCTTCCCATGGCTACCGCGAAACCGCAGATATTTTGTGCTTCTCGCCCTTCTTCCTTTCAGACCAAATTTCAACGGTTAACGATTGGCCCCTATTGCTTGGAGTTCTCAGCCTCCATTTTTGTTTTTCAGACCAGGCGCAATCTAGCATGCCAATTAACACCCATACTACTCAACGCCTTAAGCGTGTGATAGTAGTTGGGCTGTTTCGTGGATCCAAAGCCCAGAAACCAAACGGGCTGAGCTTGTAACCAACGTGGAAGGCCGACGCTGCCGCCGCGCAGATAGCCACTCTTTCCCGCCATTTCAAGTGTAGAGAAAGAGAAGAGAATCTCCCATCCCATCCAATCCCCAATTTCCCCATCGAAGAAATTGGTTTGAAGCTGCCAATGGCGGTCCAGAGTCACGCCCGCGACGCCCAAAATCTGCTCAGAAGCAGGCTCTGTAACCCTAGTTTCGTATTCAAGGCGCTCTCCGGTTCTCCGGATAGCAATTACAGGTACGCTTTCTCTCTCTGGAGCCTTTCTTATTCACTCGGAAACGAATTTTTGAGGTTGGTCTTAATATTCTCTAGCGATTTCGTGTTCTGCATGGTCCGCTCCGCTCTACATTTGCAGCAAATTGAAATTCATATTATCGAGTTCAGTTACTGAAGCATGCAACAACTCCCTGCTGCTACTTGGGCCCCGGGGCTCGGGAAAAACTGCAGTATGTTTCGTAGCCGCTCAAGTGTTGTTCCGCGGTGAATCTTCCCTGTAAAGTTGTCGATCCCACTTGTATTTCTGTGTTTTAATTTTCCTTTTGTTTTTGCCATCACAGGTGCTAGAGCTTGTATTGAATGATTTATTGGAAGAATATCCTGATATGATATCCGTGGTGAGTAAGTAGATAAGCCAAATTCTTATAATGGGGCTTTAGAAGTTGCCACGACGGGTGCTGCTTGCCTGATTATGACTGTATCAAAGTTCTCCAGAACGATCTGACTCCTCAGTTGCAGATTGAATGATTCTGTTTCTTCATATTGAACTATACCAGGCTTGTGGGATCAGAAATGACTCACTTTATCTTGTTTAGGCTCAAGATTCCTCATTTCAACTCAATGATGATTTCGGATTATTCTGCTCTTGTAGCTTCTGTAAACAAAAAAATCAAAATCACGTAAAACACTGGCTTAAAACAATCCCTTCTTTCTTGTTTAGCAAAGCGACATGCATGAAATGGAGATGATGTTCATCTCTTCTCCGTATATTTTCAGTGTTTTTCTTTTTGTTCTGATATGCAATTGATTTGGGCTGCAGATTAGATTGAATGGGCTCTTGCATAATGATGACAACTGCGCCTTCAAGGTCTCCCTCTGTTGCTCTTTGTCTCCAGTTCATCCTTTTGTTTGACTTGAAAGACCCTAAAATAATAGAGTCTGTTGTTGTCAACCTCTTAATCTGATTATCTAGGGATGTTTGGATGTTAATGCTGAATCTTTCAACACGACATTATTGTGACGTAATGCTCATTTTCTATTGTGATACTTGATTCTCTGGTCGAGGGGACACTCTGGGATCTCCTTGTACATGAACAAATACGCTTGTAGATACCTGAACTTGCATATGTTTTCTTCAATTCTTAATGTTAACCGATTGCTTCCTAAACTTTTTCTGGAACATTTTCCTTAAACATGTTTCTGTAAACAATCATCTGCTAATAAGATGTAGGATTGTGCACAGTGTTCGAGATGTAGATTTTTTTCTTAAAGTTTCTTAGACAGCAAGTGTAATGTGAATGATCATTTGCAGTATGGCATGTAGCTATTTCAACTGACGCACTTGTACACGATTAGTTAGTTTCACATAGTTGCCTCCATTCCTCTCCATAACTTTATACTTGTGTGTGTGAGTAGATTATGGTTAAATTCCTTTTACTATGGTGTTGATAGTGATGTCTTCTATTTTGTAATGATCACTGGTCATTCAGGAAATTTCTAGGCAACTATGTATGGAGCATCACTTGTTATTCTCAAAGATGGTATGCCAAAAACACATTATTTTCAGGTAATGGATTTCTGAATAAGGTTTGAATTCGCTTGATCTTGAAAGCTTTCTTGCAGGCATCATTTGATGATAACTCTCAATTCCTGATAGCCATGTTAAGGTGAGGCGATGATCTTTCCCTTTTTCTCTTACAGAAGGGAATGATCTAAGTGATTGTAAATGACACTTTCTTATTACTTTGTCCAAATATGAATTTTGTATCTAAAACTTTAGGGAGTGTGGATTAGCACACAAAACAATCGTCTTTGTGCTTGAAGAGTTTGACCTATTTGCACAGGTAAAGCACCTTTATTCTAGTTGTTCAATCGTTATGGTTAGACATTCAAAGTCCTTTGGATTTTGCTAGTTTTGGTGATATTTAAAAGCCAATATTTGAATGTGATGACCCAATGATACTGAACAGGACATTGACAAAAGAGTTGCTTCATCCATATCATTTTAATTTCAGGGAAAACAACGGTTACTTTATAGCTTGCTGGATGCGATGCAATCGATAACATCTCAAGCTGCTGTCATTGGTATTAGCTGTAGATTGGTATGAGTTTGCATATTAGCACTTAATTGTTTATCTACTTCTTGAAAGAGAGAGTTATATCTTAGCGACATTTCTTCTGGCTGAATTCCCTGTCAGTTTACTTGAAAAAACATTGACCAGTATTTTACCAGGAAGGGATATGATAATCAGAGGCTTTGCAATTGCAAATCTTGAAAACTTTAAAATGTCTTTGTACATTAAGTATTACTGATCACATGATCCCTTAATTCCATAGGAGAGTCTACATGTCCACTAGTCTCAATTGTATAAGAGCTGACCAAGTTCTTGCTACTGTATTTGAATAGGGAAGTTTAAGAATTCACAGTAAATACATGGCATTCTATGGTCATTATTGTGCTTGCTAATACGCTTGGTTTTATAATAAATACAATAATTGAACAAAGCCTCCGAATTGCATTGATATATACATGATGGAAATCATAACACAAGTATCCAAGCAACACTAGCATCAAATGACTTTTATGTGCAGCACGTATTTGTTTAGTTAAGACTGAAAATCAGGCATCGACTGCAGGATGCTGATCAGCTTCTGGAAAAACGAGTAAGATCCCGTTTTTCTCATAGGAAATTGCTATTTCTTCCTCCATCCACAGAAATTATAGAAAGGTAATTTCATATGATGCCGGGCTGAATAATCGTAGTTTCTTTCACAATAATAGAGAAGTTCAGTATTTGACATTTACTTATGCAGGTTGCTGCAGCACATCTTACTATTGCCAATGGACTCAACTCTTCCAAACGATTATGCTACTCAATTCAATACAAAGCTCGAGGTTAACTTCCACAATCCAACTAATTATTTCTGTTTCAAATATGCAAAATTCATGTGTTGTTGGTATTTAAAAAGTTGCAGAGTGTTTTAGCAGATGAAAGATTCAAAGAGATCCTTAAAAACTATCTGAGTTCCAGTTCTACCATCAACCATCTACTGAGGTTTCTGTAAGTTCAATCACTTTGCATATGTGTGCATCAAACCTATCATGGTTCTTTGAAAAGTATTCTTGTTGAGTCCTGTATTGAACTTGGAAGTTCTATTATAGGTTTGTTGCGGTCTCTTCCATTGATGTGAAATCTGGTTACCCATCTCTTGACAATTTCAAGACAGCACTTTCAAGTTTCCGAAGGCAGCCAAAGCAGGAATGCATTAAAGGTCTGGAAACTTGTCTACACATGGTGCTTATCAATCTCCATTCTCTAACTTGAGCAGCTTCTGTCAGCAGCATGCACACAATTGGGGCTGTTTGTTTATATCTTTAATAATATGTCTTCGCAGATTGCTCCATTCTGGAACTCTATATTCTCACATGCATTAGGAGACTGGAAAGCAAGGAGCAGAAATCCTATAACTTCAATTCTGTAATGAAAGGTGTGTTCTTGTTCATAATCCTCTATTTATCCATTACTGATGCCCTAAAAAGTTCCTGAAACCAAAATATTAGCAAATCAACATGATAAAATTTGAGCTGCTGTTCCCATGTCTAATAGAGAGGAAATAGAAACTGGATCAATATACTTGGAGTGAAAGAGAACTTAACCAGCTAATAAGAAATGTTTGTTAAACTGGGCAGAGTATAAATCCATCCACGACCAGTTCCAGACTTCTGATGATTATGCGCGAAACGTATGCCTAAGGGTGTGTTCCTCTCTTAACTCCCAGTATAAAAAATGTTGTTCCAGATTGTTTCCTAACGGATAACTATAGTTAGCACTACCAACTTGTGCAGGCATTCGAACGTCTTTTGCAGCGCGATTTGATCTGTTTCTCGGACAACAGAGGACAAGGTCAATCTGTTGAGTTTCGTCCGGTGAAGTGTCTAATCTCGCACTTTGAGCTCCAAGAGGGGATCAAAGCATATCGTTCCTGTCCCGTAAGTTGCTTCCTCCACTATGGTTTCTGTTACTCGGGTATTTCATTGCTAGCAGGTGTCAGTTGAAAATGCTTGGTATTCTTTCCCAATCCAGCTTGTTGGAGTTTGATTAACAGTTTAACACCATACCATCCTTGTTATTTCTCCTGGCAGATCATCCTCACCAAACTTTTGGATCGTTGAACTCAAAAAGGACTAAGGGTGCCGCTTATAAACTGCAGTTTAATCTCGATGGTGAATGATTTACTCATTACGAAGAAATAAGAAAGGAAACAAATTATGTAGAGCACAAAGCCACCAGAATGCAACCCAGTCCCTTTTTCTATTTCAGGTGATACGTATGAGAGCAATTACTGTTTTGAGTTGTGAAAGTGATTTGTCTCGAGTGATTTGGGCATTGTGAAGCCAATTACACTCCTGGAAAATAACTCCTTTTTTTTAGGCAGAGTAAGTTACAAGTGTGTTGTCATGCAAGTTACATCCACCTGCACAAATGCTGAAACTTAGCTTATTGTTTAGGTTAGAGCAATTTTCTTTTGTTTTCGGTTTCTATCTCGGACTAGCCTTTCATTTTTTTTTTTTGACAAGGGCACACAACTTTTCATTCCAAAACAGGCGAAAGCCAAAGTTTACAGAAGGGGAGACACAACATCAAGAATATGAATCCATTCCGAGAGTAGCTGGTTCCGTGCGCAGGATCTGGCCACCCAGTCTACCTTGGAATTCCGCTTCCTATTTATCCATTCAATTATGATGTTGGGGCAGAAACTGGTAAGACTCAGGATTCTTCCCAGGCAAGCTGCGGCCCGCCATGGCCAGAGCCTCGTCAGTCCTTGGAGAGCCTTCACCAAAACCAGGCAGTTCGATCGCACAAGGCATGGGGCATTAAGCTCCACAGCAACCAAGGTCCCTTCTAGAAGAGCTTTCGCTTCCGCCTCAATCGGAGAGAAGCAGTGCAGGGGCTCAGCCTTCCTATCAACAACATGACCATTGCCGTTTATAATAACGACGCCATATGCCGCCTCCTGGGAATTGTGAAGAAACGATTCATCACAGTGTACTTCAAACGAGTGGCTACTTGGCGGTGGTAAAGCTGGCTCAGGGGGTGAGACAGGCTGAGGGTGAGATGAGGCAGTTCTTTTCTTTGGGCGGGATCTTCATCGCTGAGCCTCCTCCATTGCCCGAGAAACCGTAGCGAAAGGCCGCGGGGGTTTCTCCTTAAAAACCTTTTCATTCCTCGACTTCCATGTTTGCCACAGCAGGTAAATGCAGTTATAAAACAAGCTCGACCGCCCTGGTGTTCGACAGGGAGAAGAGCCATTCCAGCACATTAGTGAGAGGTGGAGGGGTAGCGAGCTCCAAGAAGAGCACTCTCCATCCATTCGCCGCGTGTGGGCAGAGGAAGAGGCAGTGGTGGATAGTCTCCGTCGTCTCGTCACACACCGGGCATGTCGAGGAGGGTGAGCAGCGCCGGGCATGAAGGTTGTGTCTTGTAGCCAAAGCTCCTCTCGATGCTCGCCAAACAAAGAACTTCATTTTCGGGGGTAGGTGTAGCCCCCAAAGCCATTTCCATCTTTCTTTGCTTGTAATAGTAAGATGCAACTCTTCTCCTCGATCCCTCCGCCACTGGTGGTGGAAATTCTGGAAGGCCGACTTGACCGTGAAAATACCCTTTTCATCAAAACGCCATGCCCAGTAGTCCCTCATGGAGATGGGACCAACAGGTGTCTTCGCCACATCTTGGATTTCCGACTGGCTAAGGAACTCCTCAAGGATATCAAATCTCCACTCCCGGGAAATGGGATCGATGAAGTCCGCGACAACAGAGGAGTCTGCATTGCTATCCTGTCTCAAGGGACCCGCTCGAACAAACAGCCAAGGATCATGGAGGAATCTGGTCTCTCTCCCACTACCAATGACCTTGATAATACCTTTTTCCATCCACTTCCTTGCTTCCCAGATACCTGACCAGATCCATGAGGCCTTGCTGCCTTTCTTGGCCTTAGTGAAGTCCACCCGAGGGAAGTAGAGAGCCTTCAAAACTTTGACCCACAGGGCATCAGGGTTCGTGAGGATGCGCCATGCTTGTTTAGCAAGCAAAGCAAGGTTAAAGATATGGAATGGTCGGAACCCCAATCCTCCTTCAGATTTATGGGCGTAGAGAACTCTTCATGCCCTCCAGTGAATGGATCTTTTAGAGGTAGACCCACTCCAGAAAAATCTTTTGAGCATTGCATCCATTATGTTTGTCATTGTACAAGGGAGGAGGAAAAGGCACATGATGTATGACGGAACAGCCTGGAAAACTGCTTTGAGCAGTGTTTCCTTTCCCCCTGTAGACAGCATCAGGCTTTTCCACTCTTCACCTTGTTTCTCCTGTCTTTGGATAAGGAACTGGAAAGTTTCTTTCTTGGATCTGCCCCACTCTGTTGGCACTCACAGGTGCTTCGAGTGAGCACTAGAACAGTCGAACCCAATAGACTGAATAATACGCCCCTTCTCCTCTTGAGTCACATTCTGGCTAAAGAAAGCTGAAGACTTTTCCCGGTTAACCTCCTTTCCCGTGATTGCTCCATACGAGTCCATAATCTTCAAAATACTCTGTGCTTCCGGTATTGAGGCATCTCCGAAAATCACTGTATCATCCGCAAAAAGGCAATGGGTCAGTAAGGGGCAGAATCTGTTCAGCTTGAGCCCTTTAATATCCTGATGATGCGCCGCTTTCTCAATGAGGAAGGAGAGAGCATTGGACATGAGAATAAACAAAAAAGGAGACAGCGGGTCTCCTTGTCTCAATCCTCTAGATGGGATGAATTTAGAAGAAGGTTCGCCGTTCAACAGGAGCCGGAACTTGACCGTTGTGATACAGGCTTTAACCCAATTGCACCAGACATTATTGAAACCATAGGTTCTTAACAGCTCCAGGAGGAAGTCCCATTCGACAAGGTCATAAGCTTTCCGCATATCCAGTTTCATCATCATATCTTTACGACTGTCGACTCGGTTTTTCTTGAAATGGTTAAGGACTTCATAAACAATGATAATGTTATCTTGGATTTGCCTCCCTCCGGTAAAGGCTGACTGGAGCTCGTTCACCAGACCCGGGAGCCATCTTTGCAGTCTGTTTATCATGATTTTAGTTATGACTTTATACTTGAAATTGCAGCAGCTGATTGGCCGAAATTGGCCAATCGTCTCTGGGGTCTCCACTTTTGGGATAATGGTAATAAAAGTATCATTCCACGACTCCATCATCACATTGGTCCTGAATAAGCAAGTGATCTCTTCACAAAACTGGTTCCCGACCAGGTTCCAGAATTTCCTAAAGAAGAAAACCTGGAATCCATCAGGTCCAGGGGCTTTGCTTGCTCCCAGTTGGAAAACCGCCTTGCGAATCTCGATGGTATTAATCTCAGCTGTAAGGGCTTCATTCACCTGATTGGACACCAGCTGTGGGAAGCCTGTCAAGAGAGAGTGGTCGAAAAGGCCTTCCTTGCTAGTGAACAAGTCACAATAGAAAGCGTTGACATGAGTGTCCAGGTCCAGAGCTTCCTCAAGCCAGATTCCTTCGGAGTTCTTCAGTTTGAGGATCTTGTTCCTATTTCTCCTTTTGATGGTACTGGCATGGAAGTACCCTGTGTTTTGATCACCTTCCTGCAACCAACAGTTCCGTGAAGTTTGTGCCCAGAATTCCTCCTCTGTGTTCCAGATCATAGAAAGTTCCAGATTAAGACTCTTCTCTTCGTTGATCATCTCGTTGGTCCTGTATGGGCCTTGTAATTCTTGGATTCTTGCTTTAATTTCTGATTCTCTTCTGATTTTGTTGTTGTGGTCAATCCGTGCTTAGTTCTGAAGATCCTTCTGGCAATCTTTCATTTTCTCACTGACCTGCCCCCCTCTATTCCATCTGTTAGTGATTATGTGACAACACTCATTATTATCCCTTAATCTCTTATCGAATCTGAATGGAGTATGCCTAGCTTGATGCTTGGGATGAAGATCGAGTATGATAGGGCAGTGATCTGATTCGACAAAATCTTCATGAAAAGCCACTGCTGACTCAAAACTCATCCGCCACGAGGGCGAGCAGAGTGCCCGATCAAGCCTCTCTCTGATAAGGTTATTGCCCTACTGCTTGTTAGTCCAAGTAAAAGTCTGACCCGAGAAATCCAAATCCATGATTGCATTCTGCTCAATAAAGTACTTAAAGGGAGCCACATTTTCATTTCTGAGAGGGCAGCGCCCCTGCTTCTCAAACGGAAACAGAGCAACATTCAAGTCACCCAAAATAAGCCACTTCTCATCCTGAGCTTCCCTTAGGTTCGTAAGTCGATCCCAAAGGGCTCTTCTCTCCCTCGCCGGACTGGTTCTCGTCCGCATTGATCTCCCTGATACTCCTCCTCTTAATTGTATGTTTCTTCCTTGCATACCTCCAGATATCTCCCCCTGCTGTAAAGGATAGAGAATCAACAAACAAATTGTTAGCAAAATCTTGCATTGGGGCTGATTCGGATTGATTGATTCGGTGTTCTGGTTTCCTCTTCTTCTCTGGTCTGTTTGCAAACTCCTCCACTTCAACTGGGTTCTGCAGGCCTGAAGGCTGTTGGGTGAGCTGGGTCATTTGGTTCAGAACACTGGCAGGCTGCTGATGGATGAACTGGGCCATTTGGGCCTCCTCTTCTGGTGTCTGTTCTTCAAGGCCTTGGGCCTGGGCTGTTTCTTGAAAGGGTAAGGTTGGGCTGGCCAGCGTGAGAGACTGGCCCATCTCCAACAGACCCGTCTGCTTCTCCCTTGTCTCCTTCCTGCCCGAGAGGTCCAAACCTCTCTGCATTGCTGCTGCCGCCAGCTCCACTTGTAGCATCGAGACTTGTGATAGGTTGGTGGGGCAACTCCCCTCTCCTCTAAGCATCCAGTCGCCCCCTCTGATGATTCCTGGGTTCTCCATCGGCAGGGCCACGAAGCCAGGCGGGCAGGAGACATGGGTCTGGACTGGATGGCCCACGAGTGTCAGTAAGGATGATTCTCCTCGGGATACTGACTTGTTGCGGGACCTTTGCTCGATCTGTGTGCTCTGTCTGAGCCTTTCCTGTTTCTCCCGGAAAGACGTCGGGGGGGGGGGGGGGGGATATTTTCCGGTGAGTCGTGACCAGCTTTAAGCGCCGCCGTGTAGACTTTCGAGGGATCTGTGCAGAGTCCCCTTCTTTGATAATCTTCTCGTTCAAGGCAGTTCTGGATTAGATGGCCCAGTCTGCCACAGAAGTAACATAGGTCTGTGATCCTCTCGTACTTAAAGCTAACCCAGGTTGATCTTTCTGCCAATGGGCACTCAAAACCGATCGGGATAGGCTTATCCAGTTGGACTTCCACTTTCACTCTAACGAACTTCTGCCCTCCTCTGAATTCGAAGTTAGAGTTGTCAATTCCAAGGTACTGGGGGAATATG